GAAGGTTGCAGGTAAAGTGGCCAACAGTACGGCTTATTCCAAGTACACTTATTGATCATTTATAATTTGATAAAAGAATATTTGATAGTTTTTTTTCCGAAAAGTAGGTAAAAGTTCTTAAAGCAAAATATTAAGCTGGTGACAGCGAATGGCTGCTGCACGCAGTACGCTTTTCAAAGGCGATTATTGAGTAAAGAAATCGAAATACACAATCAGTGTGAATCCTGTCTAATGCCAAGAGTTTGAATCTTGTATTTTCTGAACGAATTTTAGTTGACGCACTACTCTGTTTACTTTGGAACGTAGCATGCGGTTATTGCCCAAGACAAACTATTTTAATTCCATCTTTCTGAATCACCTATCCCTTTTCCCCAGTTTTACGAAGTTGCGAAAAATGAAAGCTTAAAATATTCCGGTAGTAGCCACGCCAGGCTATAATTCTTAGACTATCTCCCAGAAGACTGTTTCCGCTGCATTCACTTTTAGCATATTTATACTCATGTCTTATGATATACTTATGTCTTATGATTTACTTATGATTTACAAAGATTTATTGAAAGTCAAGAAGTGAAACAAATATACCGCGTCCCATCCCCAGTTATACACATTCACAGTCTTATATGGCACATTTTCCCACTCATTCTTCAAATCGCACCATAACGGCGCCACGTTCATCGGTCGACCAGTTTGATTGAAGTACCACGGGTTTCGCTCGTTCGTGCCAAATGCTGCTGGCTCATTCATGTCAATCCAAATGCCATCAAAAGGTATCTAGAAATATTGCACAATAACTTTTGGAGCAATCATTTTTCTTTGCAACAGCATTCAAGTCTTTCCAACAACATGCACAACTACACTGAAATGTTCAATAAGCACAGAAGCGCGTCCCCGACTTTATCTTTTCCCGATCTACGCATACCTAAGCTATTAACACTAAATATGAAATCCCAGTACAACTACTACCCATCTTTTCAAAACATGTTTTTTGTGCGGCTTATTTTCATCCCTGGGAAAATTTGTTAATTTTCTCGCCATAACTCTAAATGAAATTTATTTCAAATTTACAAATTTGAAGTCGAAAAACAAAATCCCTTAGTTTCAAAATCCCCCAGTGATGGAAGCACTCCGAAGTATCCAAGGGTAGCAAATGTCAAGAACAACCATGCGTCAGCAAGTTAATAAACTGAAAATTACAAATCACTCTTGCTACTAGAAACGTCCAAGGTCTCTATTAATTTCAAGTAAACTACATAAATTTGGCCAACAGATGCGAAATATTAATTAAATTAGTGATAATAGTAGTAAAAATGTCAAAAAACCTGTTCATTGTGT